TTGTAGACGCATTGGTTTTGCAATAGGCGTCAGGCCCGATGGGGCCACATGCGCACTCCTTCCAAGAGGGTCGGTTTACGTTTTGGATTCGGCCTCCGAGCTGGGGTCGCAACCCGAAACTGTCAGAATCCCACCAGCCCTTTGGGCGTGAGTGGTTTAGAGAGCCCGCTCTGTCCTCAACCCCCCTTCTTCCCCTTCGGGGAAGGGTTTACCCCTCCCCCTACCCCCTCCCCCTGGGCCTGGACAGGGAGCCCCGGGTGTTCTCAAGGGGGTCTTTTTCGACTCCTGGGAGGGGCAAAAAACGACGACCCTCACGAGGATTCTGGCCCCGACGGGGGGGGCGAGTTTGGCCCCTCTGCTCTTCTTTGAAACCAAAATCATTGATTTTACTACGGTTTTGGCCCCATTTTGGCCTCCTGAGGGGGCCGCGCTTCTCTTCCCTCATAGCAAATTCATTGATTTTACGAAGGTTTTGGGCTCATTTTGTCCTTCTCAGGGGGCAGCTCTCCTTTGCGCTTCTGCGGAGGTCGCAAGAGGCCCCAAGATGGCCCCAAGAGGCCCCCAGGAGGCTCCCAAGAGGCCTCCAAGAGGCCCCCCAGAGGCCCCCAAGCGGCCCGAAGAGGCCCCCAAGAGGCCCCCAAGCAGCCCCCAAGAGGCCCCACGAGGCCCCAAGAGGCCCCCAAGAGGCCCCCAAGAGGCCCCCAAGAGGCCCACGACGCCCCAAGAGGCCCCCAAGAGGCCCCCAAGAGGCCCCCAAGAGGCCCCACGAGGCTCCAAGAGGCCCCCAAGAGGCCCCACGAGGAGCCCGAACGACTCACATCAGGACGAGGGGCCCGAACGACTCACACCACGAAGAGCCCGAACGACTCACACCACAAGGAGGGGCCCGAACGACTCACACCAGGACGAGGCGCCCGAACGACTCACACCACGAGGAGCCCGAACGACTCACACCACGACGCGGGCCCCGAACGACTCACACCACGAGGAGCCCGAACGAGTCACACCAGGAGGAGGGGCCCGAACGACTCACACCAGGACGAGGGGCCCGAACAACTCACACCACGAGAAGCCCGAACGACTCACACCAGGACGAAGAGCCCGAACGACTCACACCACGAAGAGCCCGAACGACTCACACCAGGAAGAAGGGCCCGAACGACTCAGACCAGGACGAGAAACCCCAAACGACTCAAACCACGAGGAGCGCTTTCTCTCCCTCCTCCTTCGCCTCGTCCTTCTCCCGCTCCCCCCACAAGGAGGATGTACAAGGAGGCGGGAGGAAGGAGGAACAGGGGAGATATGCGGGGCCCAGCGGACACACGCCTGAAAAACACGACTGTCGGCATGCTTCGCGAGAGTTGCTGCTGTGAGATGGGCTGGTGGGGATACGCGAAGCGTAAATAATTTATGGAAACAGCGAGGCACCGGAGAACCACCTCAAAACCTATCGGTTTTACAGAAGGGATCGGGCCCCTTGGGACCACATACGCCATCCTTCCAATATTGTCGGAGTGCCTCTTAGATCCGGCCTCCGAGCCAGAGGTGGCGACACGAAACAATCATGATTTATAGACAACGCGGGAAGCCCGAAAACCGATTCAAAACGTAATGGTTTTGCATGAGGAGCTTGGCCCGATGAGGCCACATGTGCACTCTTTGCAATATGGTCGGTTTACAACTTGGATTCGGTCCCCGAGCTGGGGTCGCAACCCGAAACTATCATAATTTATAGTAACAGCGAGACCGGAAAACCACCTCAAAACCGATCGGCTTTGCAATAGGAGTCGGGCCCGTTGGGGCCACAGACGCAATCCTTACAATGTGGTCGGTTTACCTCTTGGATCCAGCCCCCGAGCCAGGATCGCAACACTTAAAAAACTAATTATCTGAAAAACACAAGCCCAGATAACCTGCTGAAAACCTATTGGTTTTGCGATAGGAAAAAGACCCTATGTGCCGACGCGCGCAATTCTTCCCATACGGTCGTGTTGAAACCTTAGGATTCGGCCTCCGAGCTAGGGTCGCAACGCGACGAACGCTGACGACAGCGGTGCAGTTAACACACAGACACACACGCACTCCCTCGCCGCCGCGCCAGCCAAATTCCTAAAGGGAGGTCTGAAGAATGCCGACAAGAACAATATATATATATATGTGTATATAAACAAAGTTCCCGCTGGATGCGCAGCCGCTCATATCCAGACTGGCTCATGCAAGACCTCTGACGCCCCTACATCCACTCGCGATCAGACCCGTCTCTACTCTGCCGCTGAACGTAACCGCAGTTGCTCGCTCCCTCGCGCCTTCTTCATGTTCAGACCCCACCCATGCCTAGACACACACATACTGAAATACGCTAGCCTTCAGACGCACGCTCAGTCAGATTCACTCCTCCAAGCTCACTAACGCCGAAACCCACGCATACCCAGGCTCACTCATATCCAGACTCATTCGCGTTCAGGCCCCACCCATTCTCGGCCCGCTCTGGGGCCCACTCGCGCTGAGTCGATCGGACTCCCCCCAGGGCGGGAACCGCCGGGGGGGGCGGCGCGGACCCCCACGGGGACCTCCAACCACTGGGGACCCAGCCGCCTGTCCTTGCCGCTGAGGCCGCGGCGTAGGTGAACCCGAATTGCTAAATACCCTCCATGAGGGATCTTGACGCGCCCTCGGCGGTCCCTCGCTGGAAAAAAAAGCAGCGTTAAAACATCCAACGCGTGCTTCGCCGCGCAGGTACGCTTTCTTTGGGGAACGCACCGCTGACAGCACCGCGGGGAACGAAGATCCGAAATCCAGAATAGAGGAACCAGGATCCTCGTTCCATCCTCAACCATGGACCCTCGAACCTGGAATCTAGAAGTGCACGCACTGGAACATCGAAAAACATGAGCCGCTCGAAGATCCAAGATCCGGATGCTCCATGTTCGATTACCCCTCGACCGCGGGTGTCGACTAACGATCGCCCCTGGCCCGCAGTCCTCGATCGATCTTGGATCGGCCTCGCGGCCCCAGCGCAGCCTGACGATGGCCCCCATAATCGAATGTACTGAAAGAGCGACCACCCCTGTGCACGATCGTCGGGGCCAAGTTCAGACGGGCTGGGCGAGGCGACAGCCTGTGGAGTCCAGCTCATCTTGACAAGGTGCAACGAGTAGCAAATCGGATGCCCGACGGCTAAGATGGACAAGAATAAGCGGATTGGGAAGGAGTCCGGAATGGTCGGCGCGTTGGTGCACGCGCGAACTGAACCGAACTGCACGGAATCTGAACGTTCTGGCGACATCAGATGCGGCGATACATGCGGCTGCGAGGAAGTCCTAGGCTAAAGAGCCGACGTCAAGCCGTATACATCGGGTCCACAAACATGGCTGTCAACATGCCCCCAGCGAAACAACCATTCTCTGGTGGCTGGAAATGGAAACGGAGAAATTTGTCCGAGAAGCCCTATGCGAAATCGCCATTCTCCGGTTGCCAGAGAACATTATCCTGTTGCTCCGAACAGCAACTGGAATTTGTTTGGAGGGAGAATTGGGCGGAATCGCGATTCTCTGGTCCTCAACCCATTTGGCGATTACCCATCGGTCG